TTTCCTTTATTGTGTTACTTGTTATTATTGGATCAAGGTATCCTTGCGCAATATGCCTTGAATTTTATGCTATAATTGCTACATGTTTATGTGACTTAATTGCTACTTGACATTTAGTATACTAAATATTAAATTGCCTAATTGCTCCTTAAAGTCCATAATTAATTGCTCCCTGTCATTATTTGCTTTCCTCGGTGAATCATATTTATTGTGTACTTGTTGTCTTATGAATTCGTATTAATTGTTGCGTTTGTTGGAGTAAATTTCATTTGGAATAACTTATGATATAATGAAATGGAGCGGGTGGTACGCCTACCACGAGATTTAATGAAATGGGAGCGGGTGGTACGCCTACCACGAGATTTAATGAAATGGGAGCGGGTGGTACGCCTACCACGAGATTTAATGAAATGGGAGCGGGTGGTACGCCTACCACAAGATTTAATGAAATGGGAGCGGGTGGTACGCCTACCACAAGATATGAGAAATGGGATCGGGTTGCACTCCTGCAACGAGTTGTGAACCGAGAGTGAAATCTGCCTTGTTTTCCTTATCCTTGTTAGAAGTTGAATTTTGGTTTCTTGATAATTCTCTTGAGATTCTGCTTTATCTGTTATTTCCCGAAGCATGTTTCCCCCTCCAATCTTTATTTGCTTATTTCTGCTTTACTTTCCGCTGTATATTATACAACTGCACAGGTTTATTTGGTGGTCTGGTCCTAGCCTCGTCACTACTTCGCCGGGGTTAGGCTAGGCACTTACCAGCACATGGGGTCGGTTGTGCTGATACTACACTCTGCACTCTTTCGTGCAGACCCCAGTGTTGTAGATTTCGGACCGCAGTGAGATTGCTGGATCTTATTCATCAGGCGACCCGAGGTAGTCCTGCAGGCGTTCGCAGGCCCTCGCATCTCCTTTCGTCTACTTTCCTGTTTCTTTGATGTATTTCCAGAGACAGTGTTGAATTTATTTCATTCAGACCTTTAAGTGTAGTATTCTTAGACCGTCTTTAAAACTGTGACACCGGTTCTGGGTAGTCGAGACTCAAGCAGTTGTAGTAGATATTCATGCTCAGATAGCTTATTGTTTTTCTTCCGCTTATGTTAAATTCCGCTGTTTAATGTTATATCTTCGTAATTGTTAAAGAATATAAAATGGGTAAAAAGTTAAATTGTTCAAATGATTGGCTTGCCTAGCTCATATTAGTAGGCGCCATCACGACTCCCGAGGGTGGGAAATTCGGGTCGTGACAAACGTCTACTTCATTTGGACAAGATTTTGTGACTTTCTTATTGAAAAATGAGCCTCAAACATTTAAAGAAGCTATGTCTTCTTCGGAATCCTTGTTTTGGAAAGAGGCATTCAATAGTGAAATAGAATCCATATTGAACAACCATACATGAGAATTGGTTGATCTTCCTCCAGGAAATAAACCGTTGGGATCTAAATGGATCTTTAAGAGGAAGATGAAAGATGATGGCACTATTGACAAATTTAAGGCAAGACTTGTGGTCAAAGGGTATAGACAACGAGAAGGTCTTGACTACTTCGATATATACTCTCCAGTTACAAGAATTACGTCCATACGAACATTAGTAACGTTAGCTGCAGTTTATGGTCTTGAAATTCATCAAATGGATGTTAAGACAGCCTTCTTAAATGGAGAGTTGGAGGAAGAAATCTACATGGAACAACCTGAAGGGTTTGTGTTCCAGGTAAAAAAGAAGGTCTGTAGACTTGTTAAGTCCCTTTACGGATTAAAACAAGCACCCAAACAATGGTATGCGAAATTTGACCAAACAATGTTATCAAATGGTTTTAAAATAAATGAATGTGATAAATATGTGTACATTAAAAATGTTCCAAATCACATAGTCATTGTTTGCTTATATGTGGATGATATGCTGATAATTAGTAATGACATTGCCAACATAAATGCAACTAAGCGCATGCTAACTGGCAAGGTTGATATGAAAGACTTGGGAGTTGCTGATTTAATTCTGGAAATTAAGATCCATAACACTTCTCAGGGTCTGGCATTGTCACAATCTCATTATATTAAGACAGTACTTGAAAAATTCAAGCACTTGGGCTTTAAAGTTGCAAAGACTCCAATTGACGTGAATCTTGCATTAGCAAAGAACAAAGGCCAAAGCATATCACAATTGGATTACGCTCGTGTGTTGGGTTGCTTAATGTACATCATGAACTGTACACGACCAGATATAGCTTGTGCTATAAGTAAATTGAGTCGATATACGAGCAATCCAGGTTAATCTCATTGGATGGCCATGAAACGAGTTTTGGGGTATTTAGTACATACCCAGGACTTTGCTTTGCACTACAATAAATATCCTGCGGTCATTGAGGGATACTGTGATGCAAATTGGATCACCGGATCAACTGATTCCAAGTCCACAAGTGGATATGTATTCACTATTGGTGGAGGAGCGGTATCTTAGAAGTCGTCCAAACAAACTTGTATTGCCCGCTGTACAATGGAGGCTGAATTCATTGCCTTAGATAAAGCCGGTGAAGAAGCTGAATGACTCCGGTATTTCTTGGAAGATATTCCATTTTGGCCCAAACCGTTGGCACCAATATGCATACATTGCGATAGTCAAGCGGCAATTGGAAGGGCTGGGAGCGTTATGTATAACGGTAGATCTCGTCATATACGACGAAGACATAAAACCGTTAGAAAATTACTCTGTAGAGGAATTATCACGATTGACTATGTAAAGTCAGGTGATAATGTGTCGGATCCACTTACAAAAGGCCTAACTAGAGAGGTAGTTGAGAAGTCATCAAGGGGAATGGGACTGTGGCTGAGAACAAGTCATAGTGGCGGTAACTCTACCTAGAAGACTGGAGATCCCAAGATCTAGGCTCAAGGAGATCAAACAAAGTCATTAATGACGGTTCAACATTGTCAACTAAACTTTTGGTCCATTCTCATGATGAGACAATGTTCAGTACAAGGATAAAGCATTAAGGGTTTTTAATGATTTCTAAATTTGATACGGGGTATATCAAATAGTGTATCTACGGGATGGCACGTTTAGGAATCACCTATGTAAGTGTGAAGTGTTAGCTGCTTCAAGGAGAACTTCGTAAGGCCAGTTCTCTACGCACTTATGAAACCAGGCGGTGTTCATGGCTGAAACGAACACAACAATGAGAACCAAAGACGGTTAAGGGTTGGTTGTGTGACTTGTGGTTGTCTAGGTATACACCAAAGTTCGATGGTTCAAAGATATCAAATCTACCGAATGATCGAGTATATCCGACATAAGTTCACTACGGAAAGTTCAAAGGGAAACCTACTTATCCAAATGCAATTACTCCTTGCTTGCGAATCACACAATTTTTCATGCATACTTCCGTGATATAGCCATTCCCCATTCATGTGGGGGATTGTTGGGTTTTTTTGTATTTAATATATTAAATACATAAAAGAGGGTGAATGGGAAATGGAGGGAAATAAAATTTTTGAGTGAAATTTTAAGTTTCCCCCTGGCAAATGGACATTGTCCCATATTGGAAGAGGAAGATGTTTTTTTATGGGTATATAAGCAATTGCTCTTCTTCTACCTCTTATAGAGTTGAGAAGAAGGCAAGCCTCGCGCCGTCGTCGTCGCTCGCTCGCTCGGCTCGGCATCGGCTTCGGCTTCAGTCTTCGGCTTCGGCTTCGGATTTGGATTTGGTCAATTGATCGATTAATTTTTTGGACCAAATTTATTTGTTAATAGTAAAATATTAACAGAAATGTTATTAAATATTTGTTTTAATAACAGAATATTAATATTAAAATAAATATTAATATTAAATCCAATTCAGTTCAGTTTTCTGTTTTTGTAACAGAAAATTAACTACCCTTCAATTTTCCCTCTTTATTTTCCCTCTTTATTATTGAGTAAATGGCCATTTATGTAATGGCATTTATGCTGTGGCCGTTTTGCATAAACAACCATTCTGAAGAGTTGCACATCTTCAGATTTCAGCCCAACTTTGGCTATAAATACAACACCATTCTGCTCAGAATTTCACTACGATTTTCTGAGTTTCTCCTCCTTCTTCTGCATACTTTTAGCATCAAACAAAGCAACAGTAAGTGTGATTTGCTACCGAACTTTGTGTTCGCTGAAACACTGGGGTTTGAAGTACCACTACACCAGTGTGTAATTCGTTCTATCCTGGGAGGAAATAATCCATAACCTTGGGTACTAGGAGGGGATTAAATTCCTTAAGGGAACACTGTGAATTCAGTGGGCTCGAATTGATTTTCTGTTTATGTTCACTTCTATTTATGCTCATTTCTGTTTATGTTCATTTATATTTTCAGAATTATTTTACAAATACAGTCTACTAACATATCACACCCCTTGAGGTGGGGCCAGGGGCATAGGCACCTTGATCGAAGCGGTGTCACCTGACATCGCTTCGTCGAAATCTTCTCATATTTTGTATGTATAAATAATAAATAAAATTAAAATATTGGGTATAAGTATAAAAAAAAATGACACCACTTGTCGTTATAATAATTTATTCATTTGTTCACTTCTTCAAACATTGACATCATTTACGAAAATTCATGCGTATACCACTCCTTGCATGAATACTGGATGCTTAATGCACTAGACTGCCCCTTCATTAAGATCCATATTAATTTGACTAATGACACGAACATTAAAGAATGCTTTCCTCATGTCAAATAACACATAATCAGAAAACGAGACAATTACCAAGCAGGTTAAACCATTTACATGAAATCAATTAGAACGTTCAACAATGGTTGTTTTAATTAGTTTTGTTTTGTTGTCTATATATCTAAATTTTATTTCACACAAACATAAGAAATAGAACGTTCAAATTAAAATGAGATTAGATAGTCAATTATGAACTTCATCATTCTTTTTCAGACGTACGAAATAAATAAAGGAAAACAAAATGATAAAGAAAGAAATGGAGGGGATGGAGATGAGCAATAGAAGAACTTACCTTGAAAACTTGTGAGAATAAAGAGAGAAAGAGGTTGTTCAAGAACTAAAAAGAAGAAAATTGAACTAAAGCGAGGAATATTTAAGTGCCAATTAAATCGGAGATGATAGGCAACCAGCTCCTAAGAAATTGTCAAATAATTAGAGAGTAGGAGAAACTCTCGTAATTTGAAATATATAGAGCCCTAACCAGACACATAAAATTAATTTTTGGTTGATATATTTTCTCTTAAAGTAAAACAAATAACATAACGAGTATATATATAAGTATTTCTCTAGTTTCTTTCTTAGAGAACATTAGTTCGCAAACAAATTAAAACAATAAAAACAACAACAATAATAATAATAATAATAATTAATTGTAAGGATAATGATAAGGTTGGTCCAATCAAGTTAGGAACATAACAAACAATGGACACCTTATGTCCCATTTATATTATTAGATTATTATTGTCACTACTATATGCTACATAGATTTTACTTAATTCTTATAGAACAATTCTCAAAAGGAAGTAAGGAACAATTGCGAATTGGTTCGTTACTTATAATTAGCTTTGATTCTCCTAAGTTCCTAACATAGAGATACAGCCAAGTACAATTACATTTTAATTGACAGGATTATATTTTCGGTCCATCGCCAATAAATATTTGTTAAATTTGTAACAATTATTAGTGAAAAGATCAAAAGTGCATAATTTTATCTATCGAAGGTTAAATTATTATTTCTTAATTTATTTTATATATAGAACTACGAACTAGTTTAGTGACTAAATACTAGGCAGGGGCGGATTTACTGTGGTTGAAGCGGTGTCATCCGACACCGCTTTGTCAAAAATACGTACAAGTAAAATAAAATGTCACCACTTAGTCAAAGCAAGGTAGTTGGTTTTTATATATATATATATATATATATATATATATATATATATATATATATATATAAAAGAAAAGTGAAATATTTAAATATAATNTATATAAAAGAAAAAATACGTACAAGTAAAATAAAATGTGACCACTTAGTCAAAGCAAGGTAGTTGGTTTGCTGGTGTCACGACCTGGAATTTCCACCTTCGGGACCGTAATGGCGCCTAGCATTTCACTTGCTAGGCAAGCCAACGTTAGAGGATCTTTAAGTCAATTTCAATAAATTTCAATAAGTAAACTCAGTTAAGCTGAAATGAAACTAAAATTGAGTGCGGATTAACATAAAAATCAATAATATCTAAGTACAACCCGGATCTGGAGTCACAATTCACGAGCTTCTAGAGTCTCTACAAACAGGGTTTGAAATAACTACAACTGTCTTGAACGAAAAGGACAGTAAAATAGGGGAAATGGAAAGGGACTTCAAGGTCTGCGGACGCCAGCAGATCTACCTCGAGTCTCCGAATGCTAATCCGAGTTGATACGCCTCACGGACAGCTGGGACGAGTACCAAAATCTGCACAATTATCAATAATGATTCCACAATACCAATCTCAACTTCGCAACAATACTCAATTATCACAGATAGCTCATAAATGCGAAAAGAACGATCAATTTAGTAATTAACTAGTCTAAGCATGGATATCATGATCAAATAAATAAATAAATTACAATAAACAAGTTCCACCCGCATGCTTTGACCTAACAACAACGCATAAGTACTCGTCACCTCAGATATACGTTGTACCCGACAATTAGACATGTAGCAAATAGACAAACAAGTTCTAATCCCTCAAGTCAAGGTTAACCACGACACTTACCTCGCTCCAAAGACCAACTCAAAGCTCAACCACGGCTTTGCCTGTCAAACAAGCCTCCGAACCAACCAAATCTAGCAAATTATCAACCAAATGATTCAAAATAAGCCTTAGGAACTACCCACGAATGAAAAAGCTTCAATTTAGGTCATTATTGAAAAAGTCAACAAAAATCAACTCCCGAGTCCGCTTGGTCCAAACTAAAAATTCGGACCAAAACCCGATTACCGATTTATCCCCGAGCCCCGTTATATAATTTCTATCGAAATCCGACCTCAATTTGAGGTCTAAATTCCAATTTTACAACAATCCCTAATTCTTCCCAAACCCCCAATTTCCACCATGAAAATCCTAAATTTTGGGATGAAAACTTATGAAATGTAATGAAAAATTGAAAGAAAATAGGTTAGAATCACTTACCAATGAATTGGGGAAGAAGAGCTCTTGGGAAAAATGCCTCTAGGGTTTTCTTATTTTGAAAATTTGGAGAATGAGAGAAAATCCCGTCTAACTCGCATTTGACCAGTTGCAGATGTCGCAATTGCAACAATTGCCGCAAATGCGAGAAACCCTTCGCAATTGCGCAATCCCACCATCTCTGCTATCATCGCATTTGAGATGATTTGTTCGCAAATGCGAACTGCGATCTTCTGCAATTGCGACCCAAATGATCGCAAATACGACCAAGTCCCCCCTCCCCCCAGTCCCACTTCGCAAAAGCGAAGTCTTGTTCACAAATGCGAACCTGAGGTGCCCAGCTACTCTTCGCAAATGCGAGGAAGTAGCACGCAAATGCGAACCTGACAGAGATTCTGCCATATCGCAAATGCGAAGCCTGACCTTGCAATTGCGATGTCTGAGGCCTACGCCAGAACTGAAGCACACCAGCACTTTTCTAAGTTCACAACTCACTCCGTAGCCTATCTGAAACTCACCCGAACCCTCGGCGCTCTAAACCAAATATGCCCATAAGTCCAAAAATATCATACGGGCTTGCCCGCGCAATCAAATCGCAAAAATAACACCTAAAACTATCAATCAGACACCAAAATCAAATGAATTTTCAAGAAACTTTAGAATTGCTATTTTAACAACCTGACGTCCGAATCACGTCAAACCAACTTCGTTTCTCACCAAATTTGACAGACAAGTTATAAATATAGTAATGGACCTATACCGGGTTCCAGAACCAAAATACGGACCCGACATAAATAAAGTTAAACATTGGTCAAATTTTAAGATTCATTAAGCCTTCAAACTTCAATTTTTTCAACAAAATACAAAAACTCGAGCTAGCGACCTCCGAATTCGATTCTGGGCATAGGCCCAAGTCCCAAATCACAATACGGATCCACCAGACCGTCAAAATACGGATCCGGACCCGTTTACTCAAAACGTTGACCGAAATCAACTCAAATACATTTTCAAGGCCAAGATTTCATATTTTATCATTTTTAGCATACAAACTTTCCGGAAAAATACGCGGACTGCGCACACAAATTGAGGAAGGCTAAAATAAGGTATTTTAGGTTTCAATATATGGAATTAAGATTTAAAACTCTAGATGACCTATCGGGTCATCACATTCTCCACCTCTAAAACAATCATTCGTCCTCGAACAGACATAGATCATCGTCCACTTCCTCCCCCAATGGCATATTTCCGATAGGCTCGTTGTTGAGAGCGATTCTCGTACCTAAAATCAACTCCAAAACAAAATTAGTGACTCGGAAGGAAAAGAAGACAAAGCACATAAAAATCTAGATATATAGTTAAATCCGTTTAACTACCCGGCAACAGCGCCAAAAATTGATGTTGCCCAAACTCACACCACAATCATAGGTAGTGAGGCGATCGAAGCAATAATAAAACCCAACACGAGTCGGGTCGATTCCTCGGGGAGTTAGAAATGGGATTAGGTATACACCTAGTGTAGTTGTATAATGTGCCTTAATTTGCACTTCCACATTCTTGTTGGTTGTTTCTATTTCTACTTTAAACAATTAATTGCAATTAATAAACTAGAAGACAATGTTTTTGGTTTTGGTTATTTTTCAAATGATAAAGGATCTAGGGTCGTGACTTCCACCTAGGTGATTACCTAACAGGTTGTAAACTCTAGGGCAAGTTTGATTAGTCGGGGTCGTAATATAACGATCACACGCAATTACCCACTCTATACCTCTCGGTAGTTTGAGTGATTTTGCTCAATTTAGCTTTCTCAAGTCTAAATGGGTATTGCACAAATCAAGTGATATATGCTCAAGTCGGGTCTTACTATCTCTAGGTTTGACCCTTTAATTGGGGCTATCAATTTTTTGAGTTCACCCCAATTCCTTGTTAGCCAAGTTTTTCTAGACTTAGTCCTCTCTTTCTCAAGTAAAGACTAAGTCAAATAGGCATGAACCAATGTTTGCAACCATTGATTCTAGAATTCAAGCATGAACAAGGCTAAATATCACTAACCCAATCACAAATAAATCCTAAATTAAATACCCATTAAGTAATCACACTAGGGTTGGACCACAACCCTAGCTAAAGATTTAGCTACTCATAAAAAATAAAGAAATACAAGAAGAATTTAAGATAGAATGCATAATAATTGATTAGATAAGAAAAATCTAATGTTTAGAAGTTAATTTAGTACAAAATTACTCAAAATAGTAAAGAAAACGGCTCGGGTGCTCTTCTGAAAACCGAACTTAACCTATAAAAGACAAAAAGTTCTATTTATACTAAGCTGAAAATATCGGACAAAAATGCCCCTGCGAAGGTTGTGCGGCCGCATAATTCTGGTGCGGTCCGCACAATGAGCTTCTGCGGCCGCATAATTATCGTGCGGTCCGCATTCTTTGGAACTTGGGCTTGGAACTTCGGGGCTTATGCAGTCCGCATAAAAATGGGTGCGGCCGCACTTCTGATTATGCGGCCGCACAACAATGATGCGGTCCGCACTCCCTGCTTTTGGACTTGAAACAGCTCTCTGATTCTTCAATCCTGCGGACCGCATAATAATGAATGCGGTCGCGCTTGACCTCTTGCGGACACACAATTTCAGTGCGGTCCGCATGCCTTTAGCTGGCCCAAATACTACTCTCTGAATCTGGCCTTTGCGGCCGCACTAGAATTCTGCGGTCCGCCTGCTGGCAATTTTGCCCTGTTTTGGTTCTTGTTCACTTTTGACTCCTTTATGAGTTGATTTTGAGTTCTTTGGCTCGTTTCCTAATATTCCTGCAAGTAAGCACTTTCGTTAGTTTTCGGGAATACCTTAAGCATTTTTTAGCTAAAACGCAAGTAAAAGAG